GGGCACCCCCCTGCGGATCCCTCCCCGCCAGCTTCTGAGAGCAGGGCCCACACCCTGGAGGATGAGAAAGGAAATCACGGCCGCCCTTGGAGCAGCCTCTCAGCTCTGAGGTCGGAGCCCAGACACTGCCTCATATGGCCGTGGTCCTCCTCCAATAAACCTGCAGTAGCAAAATAGTGGGGCTGGACTGGGCTCGGGGCTCAGGACTGCCCGCTCCCCAGATGCCAAAGCCTCCACCTCCCCCATGGGTGGTTATGGGGGCTACCGCCAGGCTGTGTGGTCAAGGTGGTGGGCGACCCGGAGATCTGGGGGCTGTGGGGCAAAGGGCCCTGGAGAGAAGGCATCAGGGATGGCGGGCTGCACTCCCTGTAGGTGGCCCAGGTCCCCCAGCCTGTGTCACTCTTGGGGGTAGTGTCCTTGTTCTCAGGGGCCCTGGGCATAGGATGAGGGGAAGCCTAAAGGGTGCACTGACCAGGTTCTCTTTGGTTTAGGGAGTGGCCGCCTCAGCCCCGGGACCCGCGACAGCACATTCAGGTAGGCACCTGGAGCCGGTCCCCCAGAGCTCCGGGACAGGGAGGTGGGAGTCTGGGTGGGCGCAGATGGCAGAGTTTGGCTAGATGGGGATGGCGGGGGCCCACAGCCAGCGGGAATGTGGGCAATGGGGTGAAAGTGGGTGTTGGGTAACAGTGGATGTTGGGTGACAGGTGGCAGTGGTTGCTGGCTGGCAGTGGGTGTTGGGTGGCAGTGGGCAGTGGGGGTGAGTCCCAGCCCAGGTGTGGACAGCAGGGCAGTGGGTAGAGGGCAGGCTGCTGGCTCCGTGTGGCCTGGACGAGTGTGGTCTGTCTCAGAAGCACCTGCTGAGAGCGGCCAGTGGGCAGCTGGACGATGGACTGAAGGTTTGGAGACACAGACTGGGGTCCGTGCGCCCCAGGCCCGGAGTGTGGACCTGTTCCTGGGAGGGGGCATGGCAGGAAGGCAGTCAGGGTTGGGGTCCAGGAGCCCCAGCTCAGGAGGCAGGGCTGTGTCCTCAGAGAGCAGAGGGGAGCTGTGGAGGCTGGGCTGGTGGTAAGCGACTTAGTGAGGGGCAGGGCATTGGTGCCCTGGCAGGTGCAGTTTTGGGGCCAGGTGGGGAGGGAGGGCCAGGCAGGGAGGCAGTGGGAAGGTGCCGGTTCCCAGGGTCTCCCTAGAGAAGCCTGACAGTCACTGGGGACAGAGCCCTGCTGAAGGTTGGGCAGGGCTGAGAGAGGCTGGAGGTGAGGCGGTTGGCCTGGGGTGGACAGGTGGCATCAGGGCCAGTTCTGTGCCTCAGTTTCCCTGTGAAGTAGGAGCCACTAGGGGCTGAACCTTGAATTCATCAATCTCTTCTTCCCAGGCAGGTGGCACCTACAGCGGGGGCAGGGTCCAGGCAGACCTGGAGGGGACACCCAAGGTTGGGGGCAGGGTCCAAGCAAGACTGGAGGGGATACCCAGTGTTGGGGGTGGGGCCCAGGCAGGCCTGGAGGGGACACCCGGGGATAGGGGCAGGGCCACAGGCAGGCAGGGGCAGCTCGGGAAAGCCCCCTTCAGCCAGCCTTGGCCCTGGGCTGGACACTGATCCCTGCAGTCCAGAGTGCTGAGGCCAGCCCTGCCCCAAGGGTCCTCCTGGGCAGCCTGCTGTTGCCTCCCCAAGGCCACCCATACTCTTCAGATGTCTTTTACCCAGACACGGGTGCCCTGGGACAGAGGTGTGGGGATCAAGCGGACAGGCCCAGTATCTGCTGGAGGATGTGAACCTTTTCCACAGAGGCCGAGGGCTCGGGAGGGGCATCCGGGGTCTGTTATGGGACAGAGGTGAGCCAGGCCCGTGTGGTAGTGTTGGGCCGCCAGCCCAGGGCAGGTTCTGGGAGGAGGGCGCAGAAGGGCCAGTCGATTCCCGGTTGCTGCTTCACCGAAAGAGTGTCTGAGGTACTGGAAGCCATGCTCACAGAAGCCAAAGAAAATCCAAGTCCCGAGGAGGGGACGGGAGGAGGAGCTTTGAGGGCCCTGGAGCCAGTGGCCGTTGGGGAGATGCAGCTATGGACACGCCCCCGGCCCAGCACTGCTTACAGTCCCCGCGGGACTCCAGGTGGTGTTGGGAACCCTCGTCCCCTTTCCCTGCAGTCAGGCCTCACGCTCCTTCCTGCTTCCACCCTTGCCCCTCACTGCCCACCCTTGGGGGACAACCTTGGAAGAACGGATGCGATCTTAAAACTAGGTACCAGGCTGCAGGGGGGTGTCCAGCCCCACCATGGGCAAGCCCCGGCCCCGCCCCTTGACTTTGATGCCCCCTTTCCAGACTCCAGGTCCCAGCGCTCCCCTAGCTCTCCCCAGGCCCTCACCACACCTGCCTCTCCCACAGCCCCTTCTTGGCCTCGGCTCCTCAGCCGTGTCCCCTCCTCCAGGCAGTTGGCCCTGATGCCCCTGTCCCTGCTGGCCCAGGTGCCTGCCTGGGCACCAGAACTTGGCCACTGTGGCTCATCTCGATGAAGGGGTCCTGGCATTCTGAGAGGAGACCAGCCCTCTAGGACCACACATTTGCAGGACGGAGGTCTCCCCAGGGCCTCGGGGCCTGGCAGGGTTGGGGCAGAACTGTGTTGGCTACTTTAGTTCGTGGAATCAGGTGAGCGAACCCACATCGACCTGGGCTCTGTCTTGCTCTGTCCCGGCTGCTGCCTGCAGAATCAGCGAGTCAGGTCTCTCTGGCCTCAGTCTCCCCACTGGGAGCAAGCAAGTGAAATTCCCCAACCCCAGCCCTGCTGCAGGGAGTGGCGCGGACAAGCATGAGAGGAGCCAGCCAGAGTGGATGTCTGCTGCAGGTGCCGGGCAGCGGGCGGCCACAGGAGAACCTGGGTCTGCTGGGGACGCATCCCTGTGCCAGGGAGGCCCAGCCTTGAGCCAGGCCCCTCCCCTGGACAGGCAGGTGTTTCAGGGAGGCCGACCTGTAGGGCTGTCACCCTCCGGATCCCAGCCCCCAGCAGAATTCTGAGGGCTTGGAGTGTGCTGGGGGTAGGGAGCGCGTGGGGCATGGCTGTGTCTTCCAGTCACTGGCTCAGGAGTGTGCTGGGGGTAGGAAGGTCATCCCAGATGGGGCTTGGCTGTGTCTCTCAGTCACTGGCTCAGGGAATGAGGTAGGGGGCTTGCTCTCACCTCCCCTGCTTCACGTGGCTGTGCGATCCCCCACGAGGTCCTGATGACAGGAGTGGGAGGAGGCAGTGGAGAACGGGGTCCTTCCTGTAGGACCTCGGTGCCCACGGTGCGGAGCCCTCAGGCCTGCAGAGGAGGGGCCAGTGTGCATCCAGACCCCTAAGGTGGGAGCCTGCCTCAGGTCCCACCCAGCCAGGCCTGTGGGGTCCCCTCCTATCCCGCTCCTGCTCCGCTCTCCCCAGCACCAATGGGGTTTGCAGATGGCACCATCAGCTATTAGGAAGGGGGTGGGGACAGGAAGTAGCTCCTATGAGGGGAGAGAGGGTGTGGGGCACCTGGGTGTCCTGGAGGGGAGCAGAGGGAGCGTGGGTCTGTGCGCAGGAGAAGAGGGGTCCCTGGAACCTGCAGCAGGTGGGGCGACCCAGGAGGACAGTGGGGGGCAGGTGCTGGGGGCCAGGACAAAGCAGGGCTGTGCTGGCCCGGGAGGGTCAGGCAGAGAAGGCGCCGGGACAGCCAAGGAGCGGTGGTTGGTGGGGAGAGAGTCGTGAAGGTGCGGGGTGTGTGGCGCAGGGACAGAAGAGTGGGCCTTGGGGGCTTCATGGGGGGTCAGCAATTCCTGCAGGAGAGGCGGCACAGTGGAGGGGGCAGTGCTTCCTTCTGCTCTGTGGGTACTTGGACCAGGAGTGGACAGTGTGGGGGTGGCCTCAGGATGGGGCAGCGCTGGGCCAAAGACGGATGGGGCAGCGCTGGGCCAAAGACGGATGGTCCAGGAACGTGGAGGCGGAACCTCCGCAGGAGAGGCGGCGCGGGGAGGAGGGGCTGGGAGGGGTGGGCAGCTCTTTACTGCACCATCTTTGGGGTCTGTGCCGCTCGCCGCCCCCACCGGGGCCTCACGCTGCTTCCCCCACAGGATCCCCAGGACCCATGGCTGTGGACAGCCCAGGGCCAGAGAGGCCACGTGGCGAGCCACCTGCTTACGTGAACATCCCCGTCAGCCCCCTCTCCGGGAAGCAGCTGCACTACATGGGCCTGGAGCTCCAGGAGGCCAGCGAGGGGGTCCGAGGTGGGTCCCTGCCCTTCGTGGAGACCCTGACGGTCGGGGACTGGGACCACAGCCTCAAGGCCCTACCCCCCACCAGCCCAGTCCAGCAGCCCTCAGTCAGGGAGCTCTTCCTACAGCCCCCCCCCAGGAGGCAAACGTCCCCAACTCCATCCCCGGCCAGGCCACATCCCCTGAGGGTGTCCCCACTCAGGCACTTCCGAGGGTCTGGCTGGGGGACTGGTGTGGAGGGCAGGGTCACAGGGCTGGGCAGCTTGGGGGCGCAGGCTGCGGCTCACCACAGGCTACTTTCAGGGGCCAGCGCCTCCCTCTACGCCCAGATCGACATCGCGGCCACTGAGATGGCGCACAGAGTGGGAGCGCAGCACGCACGGGCCCGGGAGGAGCAGCTGTCAGAGCTGGAGCAGAGGAAGGCAGCCCCACAGTGAAGCTGCAACGCCAGGAGCTGACCGCAAACCTGGCCCCCGGGCCGCCTCGTGGCCCCCAGCAGGCCGGCCCCTTCTATTGGTCGTGGCCTGGTCCCCAGGGAGCCCCCAGTCACAGGAGAGGGCATGGCCGGTCTCCGCGCCACAGTGCGAACAGGAAGACGTCTCCAGGGCCCACAGCCAGGCCTCCTGCCTCACGGGTGCTGGGGGTTGACACTTCCTTTGGCCTGAATGAGTCGCTCTGGACCCCAGGCCACCTGAGGCCCCGCTTCCAGGCATCAGGCAGCTCTGGTTGCTGTTGCGCGTCTCAGGCAGAGGCTGCTGCCCAGGAGTGTTTGGGAGCATGGTTTGTGGTGCCTGGGATGCAAACCGCCCTCTCACCCTGGGGGTGACTGCACGGATGACAGCCGTGTCCTGGCAAAACGCTCATCGCTTCACCTGGGTGTTGTGGCCCCACAGCGCCAGGACCCAGTGCCCACTCACACTGTCGGCACCACGCCCACTCCTGAGACTGGCGGCTCAGACACTTCCGGCGTCCCCTCCCCGCCTCCCGGCTGTCCTGCCTGGGCCACCGCAGCCCTGCGCCTGGGGACGGAGCCTGGACTCTCCCAGCCGCCTGACTGCTGCACTTCCTGGGACACATTGCAGTCAGTCATGTAAAGAGCTTAAAATTCTGACTGCTCTGTTCCTGACAATGCCTACTTTCTCTCTCCTGCTTTCTGCTCTTGGACATGGATCTGATGTCTTCACCTGGGGATGCTTGGGGTTGAGGCGAGCAGAGCTGCCTTCCTTGGTGGCTTCCTCCTGCGTCAGTGCGGTGCTGTGGCTTGGGGGCTGGTGAACTGATGGGGCTGTGTGCATAGGTGGTGGGCGTCCTGCGTGCCCTCAACCCCTGTGGCAGGAGGAAGCACCGGGCGGCCCCTGCCTTGCTCCCGGAGATGGGCTTTCTGCTCTGCAAGGCTCCACCCGTATCTGTCCCTTGCTTTCATATTCCTGCCTGTCCTTCCCCCGCCCCTCCCCTAGCAGCCCATCAAGGACCTGGAGAGTCTGTGGTTGGCCTGCCCCGGGGGACGGCAGGCAGCTGCCACTGCTGCTCAGTGGGGCCCTCAGTGGGCAGGCTCAGAGCACTGGCCCTCCTGGCGCCCCCACTCCGCATGTGACTGCTGAGGACGCTTGGTGTCAAGGTGGCAGGAGGCAAGGTCAACCCGGAGCCAGCTGGAGCCAGGACAGAGATCCCCCGCTTAGACGCAAAGGCCCTGGGGAGCGTTCTGACAGACAGGGCGGGGCTGGGCTCAGCCTGGAAGATCCATGGACAAGACTTTCAGCTGCACGTTGGGGCAAGGCATGGCCTGCACCCTGATCCAGGGTTGCAGCCGTGTCGGGCCCTTAGGGTGGCAGAGTTGAGATGTCCACCTCCAGGGCCGGCCGCATGCACCAGCTCAGACACGCAACCTGGGTGGCACAGCCCCACCCCTCCCCATGACCCTGGCCTGCTGGAGCTCGGGCTTCCCGCTCACAAAGTGGGAGTGAGTGTCAGTCCCTCTGCTGCTGATGGGATCGTGGTGCTGCGGGGGAGGGTTTGGAGCCCAGACCCAGTGTGTCTGGGTGTGCCTTGGGCCACACCCTTTTGGCACAATGGAGTGGCCAGGCCATGTCCTGGGGAACGGCCACATGAAGAGTGTGGATGTGGGGCTGGGGCTGGTCCCACGGCTGTGGGAAGCCAGGAAGCAGGGGTCAGAGTCAGACCTGGCCAGGGCACCACGGGTGGAAGTATGGGGCCCAGGTACACCCAGGCCTCTAGCAGAGTGCCCCGGGGAGGCTGTGATGGTCCACGCTGTACCTGGCACCCGTGGTGCCCTGGCCAGGGTCCCAGTTGTGTGGTGGAGGGGCCGCGGGAAGGGGTGATGCTGGCCAAGGTGGGGTCGCTCTGATCTCAGGGCAGCTGCCCTCAGCCCAGGACAACCACGCAAGGCCAGAGCTGCGACTGGACAAACGCCTGACCTTCCCCTGGAGTTGTGACCAGCAGCCAAAGTCCGACAGGGTCATCTCTGCAAAGCTGTTGAAGACGTGAGGAGGTGGAGCACATGGGCCATCGTGTCTCAGGCACCCTGGACTCCAACCTCATGTACTTCCAGCCCCAGAGGAGTTGAACCTAGAGATACCTCGAAACCCAGCTTAGGGAAGAAAAAAAAAAATCACTGCCTCTCATAATGATTGAGGTATTTTTAAATTTTCAAGCTTTTTTTTTTTTTTTTGGACACAGAGTCTTGCTCTGCCATCCATGTTGGAGAGCAGTGGCACGATTTTGGCTCACTGCAAACTCCATCTCCCAGCTTCAAGTGATTCTCGTGTCTTAGCCTCCGGAGTAGCCGGGATTATAGGCAGATGCTGCCACCACTCCTGGTTAATTTTTGTATTTCTGGTAGAGATGGGATTTTGCGATGTTGGCCAGGCTGGTCTTGAACTCCTGGCCTCAAGTGATCCTCCTGCCTCAGCCTCCCAAAGTGCTGGGATTCCAGGCGGGAGCCACCCATGCTTGGCTCAAGCTGTTTTTTTTTTTTTTTTTTTTTAAGGTGAAGTCTTTCTCTTGCCCCCCGGGCTGGAGTGCAATGGCGCGATCTTGGCGCACTGCAACCTCTGCCTCCTGGGTTCAAGCGATTCTCCTGCCTCAGCTTCCTAAGTAGCTAGGATTACAGGTGCCTGCCATCATGCCTGGCTAAGTTTTGTATTTTTTTAGTAGAGACGGAGTTTCCCCATGTTGGCCAGGCTGGTCTCGAACTCCTGACCTCATGTGAGACCCATCTTGGCCTCCCACAGTGCTGGGATTCCAGGCATGAGCCACTGCGCC